GGAGTGTACAAGGTAAAGTAATTATGTTCAATAGTTTTAGTTAGTATCAAGAATATATATGATGATATTATCATTGGCAATGTAATTACTTAGAATGTTATAATATGCATTTGGAAACCAAAAAAATCAATTTTGTTTTTACTTAAGTGTTGTGTTGTCTATGGAACATCTGATTACCAACTGTGATGCTCACTAGGCCACAGAAGAAACAAAATTTTACACACCAACTAGAGGATGAAGTTCGAAAACTCCCTCCGAAGGAGCTGTATCGATTCCTCGAAATACCGAACATCTAAATACAAAGCGGTGCACAATAGATCAAACTGGTTGCAGTGCATAGGGGCCTTAGCCTAACCCGAAACCCCCAAATACCATTGACCATTGATCATAAGTGTTAGGCTGTGGGATGATTATACTTATAAAGCGGAATTAAGTTTAATTTAGATTTTTTATTCTGCTCATTCATATTTATAATAATTACTAATACTTGAAAAAGTAATTTAATTTAAAATTTTGTAGTAAATTGTAAAATGATAAAATATAATACACCTCACAATTAGCGGACCTTTTTCTGCAATTTTCAATAATTGCAACAGTGTTTACATTACATTAGCTCAATTTGCGTACAGCGTATATATAAGTTAATTCTTATATATAATAAAATTAAATGATTAAAAAACTATTTAAAATTTCAAGAAATTGTATTATTTTTATTTTGTGTTTAATATTTATAAAAATTTAGCTGTTATTTAACATTTGATTTTCGATATGCTTAGGTGTCATATCTTATGTTTGCACAAGTACCACATAATGTTGATATAGTCAGACGTAATCCTATGCCAAACTATATACTTGAGGATCAGTTTTTATAACATTTAAAAATTGTATATCGAAATATACTCAAAAAAACAGAAATAAGTAACAATATTATATAAAAGCTATGAAGGACTTTATGGGGCACTTCAGCGTATTGTCTGCGCTGAGTTATCACATTAAACATTTCGACGAACAAGTAAACTGGACGATAAAAGCTAAAGGATCGTTAATAATATTTTTGTAAAGTGGTTGTTAATGTTTTATAATGACTAATATAATGACTATATAAAAACTAAGAAGGAAATATGTCCTCCTACTACTGCAATAAAATCACAACCATTAAAAATTAACATCTTACTAAATGTTTATTTAGCTAACCTATCACGTCCTAAATAAAAATGTATGCGAATCCTAAATCCAAATTTAAAAAGTTTGGAAGATCCTGATCACTCTTCGCATTAGAAGCTAGTCTAACCATGCCACGGAAAACATGCTACCATTTAATGAGGTTCCGAAAGAATGAACCAACATAGCAGTGATAAACTGGGACCTGAAAAGCAGTTAAAATTCATTAGAATTGTCAAAATTTTTGATGACTGCCTAATGCTTTCTTACAAATCCAGATGACCTAGATGGACATGCATCCTATTTTTGTTTAAGTATATAAGATTCTTAAATGTGCTGATATTTATTTGTATTTCTTCTAGTGTATATTTTGATACGATAATTGATGTGTTTCGCAGTAGTATTCTCTCATCTGAAGTAAATTCTAATGTCAACTGGGTGACTTCTCTGTTTTACAATAAGGTATATATTCTCGGATATTTTATTAATATTCGAAGGTTTGAAAAGAAAAAGGAACTAATTGCTACACAATACAAACTTTAATAGCTAAAATGAGTTTATCCAAAATACTTACTGTAAAAATGCTGTAGAATTCACTTCTCATTATTATTAAAATAAAACAATAATATTGTTTGTTAAATAATTTTAAAATTCATTATTTTATTTAAATATTTTAGTGAGTCATTTAAAATTTAAAATTTTAAATATTTTACAAAAGTAAAATTTTGTTATTCATATATAATAGTTTAATATTAAAATATATAGTAACTTATTATATTAAAGAAGCAAGTAAAAAATGTTTAAGTTTCATTTGAATATTTTTGCTTTTGGTTTTATATCTTCTTAAAAATACGAAAAATTTAACTTACATTTAGAAACTATCAAACTACACACAATATTAAAAGAGAAAAATTTAAACTATCACATTTAGAATGAATTTGATAAATTATTTTTATAAAATATTCATTAAAACATATAAGTACTGACTAAGTTTGACTTAATTTTTGATTTTAATTTCAAAATTAATTCAAATTTATTTACAAAAATTTTTCGTTTATTTGAGATAAATTGCTACACACATACACACAAGTAACACATACAAATATAAGTAATTAAAGTAATAATACAATAATTAATTTTTATTTAATTTTGCTTTAATTTTATTAAAGATAAAATAATACTTTTTATTCAATATTAAATATTTCATTTTTTTATATGCGCTGCATAAGTTCAGTGATAATCATATGAGCAAATATGTTTTCATTTTGCCTGCAAATATGTCATATAATAAATTATACAATATATGTATATATATCTGCTAGTAATTAATTTTAAAATAATGCTTAAATAATTTGTTATGTGCACATACTATGATAAGTTTTAGTTTTTACTTTTCAGTCTCCTGTTCTTCAATGCTTTTGTCCTACACTAAATTTCTAATGTATAATTAACTACTTACAAATCCTTCATTTTCATATATATTCATATATAGTGTGTTAATACATATAAAATGGATAATGCAGAAATTTTAAACAATATTTGCTTACCAATTTTTATATATAAACCTTGGTTCTATAAGCTTTAATTGGGTTATACTCGTCTATATTTATATTTCAATTGCATATAAGTTACGTTTTCATATAATATTGATTACTCAGTCGAGGTGAATTTATATTGTGTTCAAAAAGAAAACTTAAAAAAAGTGTCTGTTTTGTCCACAAAATAAATTAAAAAAAAACTAAATCTTCTCATTCTATTTTCATATAACAAAAAAATTACAAATAATAATCATAAACATGGTTAAACATAGGAGTAATTGATATTTGGTGACTACTTTCAGTGAACTATGCAGATACTTGTCTACATACTGATCTTCATAGCTCTGAAGATCACTTCCACAGTGATCAAAATGTTTATCTTTACTTACCACACAAAAACTTAACAAAAATATACATTGGCTAGTAAATTTCGTTTCCAACACATTGGCAAAAAGATAAGAGAAGTTCTAGATTTTGACTGAAGTATGACCCTAGATATTCAAAAGTAGTTTAAGGGGATCTGTTTCACATCTTAGCATGATCTCACGAATTTCTAAGTAAAATGGTTATTTTCAACTAACATATGTAATACCCGATCAGCCAAGAGGTTTTAGTAATTTTAAAATCCAAAAGATTTGCTGTTTATGCTACTTAATGAGGTGTGACAAAAAAAGGTTTGATTTTGTAGTGTCTCAATTCAAAAACTATTGGATAAACTGATAAGTCTAAAGAAAATACAAGAGATTTTTCGATCCATATAAAACGTCTTAAACCGACTGTGAAATCTACAAGTCATCAACACAGCGTTTTTAATAAGACAGATTCACATACTCGCTTAATAAATCGATTCATAAAAATTGATCTTTTTGCGGCTTCTGTGAAATAGATGTCCAACTTGAGTTCAGAATTGTTCCCACACATAACATATGGAATAAAATGAAATCGTCCAAGGTGCTTAAGTTTATTTAAAGCCTACGGATCTCTTCACACAACTGGGGTTAACTAAAGACCATTTAAGGTTCGTTGTATAGTATTCATTTTATAATAATAAAAACAATAATAATTTTTAGAATAAAAAAAATGTTAAAAAATGTATTTAAATTAAAATATATACGATCAAAATTATATATAAGAATTTTGTATAGATTGGATTACAAGCATTAATATTATTTCTTTTCAGATATTTCGATCGATTTCTATTCGAATATCCAGATTGATAGATACAATTCGCGTAGTTCAAACGATCTAGATATCCGGATTGCACCTTTTGAACCAAACAGTTTAAATATTGATAAACCCCGATATTGTGACATTTATGGTAAATTTAATTCGCAAATAAAAAAAGGGTAGAAAATATTGTTTAGTAATTGGAATGATAAACATTTTTTCGAATTCTCAATCGAAAACAAATTTTTTTTAGTTAAAATAGTTCTATTATATGTAAATTGTTAACATACCATATATCCTTTATAACTTATTAAAGTATTTTTGCTTGTAAATTTAGCCTCTTTCCTTTCGAGCGTATATTTAAAACAAATATAAAATATTTATTATAAGTAAATTTGTTCAAACTTCTTGTATATTTAATAAGTAGGAAAAATACTTGGTTCGGTGATTTTAAAAATTTTATATATTTTTTGCTTTAAAATGCACTAAAATACTGCTACTGCCACTACTCCCTGTAAAGATTCACTAAAAATTTTGGTTTGGTTGTGAAACACTATCAAATTCCTTCATAACAATTGGTACTTTGTATTAATATATATAAATTTTTAGTGTCGTAGGATGCTCTATATAAGTATATATTCATATCTTCTATGTATATATGCAGATATGAGACATAATGATATAATTCCATATTGATTATTTAATTTAATGTATTAATTTTGTGCATTTTTTTACAATTAGTTTTTAAGATGATATATAAAGTCGCTGTGATATGATTTAAATTAATTATATTTTTGAAGCTTATACTTTTTTTTATATAAATAACTTGCTTATATAAAACTTTTGATTTTATTATGTGGGTTTGTTGCGTTGCATTCTTGGTTGAAACCACTTGATCGATTTTAATATATGTTGCAGATTTTTCTTTTTAAATAGTGATGTAGGTATGTACGAAATTTATTGTCTTTATTCGTAAATCTGTGAAATTCGTTATTGGAACAAAAACATGCATAACCCACAATTTTTTTATTTTCCGTCAAGTATTTTAAATTTTTTATAACTTCATTTGGTATAAACTTTTTATTCTACAAACTTACTCAAAATGTACTTTTTTATTTCTGATTTATAATTTATTTATATTACAAACAAATCACTACAACTTGACGAATTTCTACGTTTAACATTAATAGCTTTTTTAAACTTTAACACTGACGAAAGAAATATTTTCGTACGATTAGTCAGTTTGGAAACAGTCTTACGATTGCAATCTTCGAGTAAATTATCCTCAACATGGTTTTCTCGATAATGTTGACTGATGGCCTCACCAGTTGTATGTGCGCCACTACTGCCACCACTAGCACGTCCAGTTTTGCCACTACCACCACTTGATTCATATGACTGTCGTGATTTTGGAGAAGAATTAACGCTTCCAAACGGTGTTCGACCAGAAGTCAGTAACTCAAATTTACTTGGAGTTCTTGTTTGTGAATAATTGTGCTGTCGATGCAACTCTTCCTCATCTTCTAATTCACTTTCACCCATTTTCAATATACTTTCCAAATTCAAAGTACGTTTATTAGTTTTACGTACAGGTCCTTTGTTAGTTGGTTTACTTGCTCCCGACGATAGACTTGTACTTGCAGTGCGTTCACTCCCAGTGCCAATGCCTTCATCACCAACTGAGGAACCAATTACATTGTTTGATTGATTTTCATCACCCTCATGGCAAACGGCATTGCCATCATCACCATGACACATGGACATTTGACGTACCATACGTCTTGCTGGCATATGCATGTGTCGGTGTTTCTGTATTGTGCTTTGTAAATTTAAACGTTGACGATCACGTTCACTCAAATTATGTATGCGCTGTGGATTGAGTTTAACTTGTGCTACCACGCCAACAAGCAACTCATCAACATTATGATCCAAGCCTGATGAAGTTTCTATGAATTTGCATGCAATCTCTTTGGCTAATTTCCGACCCACTGTAGCATTAAAACACCCATTATAATTTAAAAAAATTATTTTAACATAATTATGAAAATAATTTCTTTACATTTCAATTTTTCATTTACTCACTTTGTCTAGTCACTTCCCTGTGCCGCTCCAAGTCCGTTTTGTTTCCCACCAATATAGCGCCACGTGTAAGCAGCATTTCATTCTCCTTCAGATACTGCAAAACCTTTTCAGCTGCTTTAAATGAGTTGCGATCCACTACCGAGTATACAACAACAAATAGGTCAATGTTGTAGGTGGAACAAAACGCCTCCGTCTGTGCACGTTTGAATGCATAATAAAATATACAAAAAATGAAAAAACAAAATTTGATAAAAAAATGCAACTGCAAATGCTGAATACATTATCATATAAATGCAATCAACGCTGCTTTTTATGCTGCTAACAGCTTCAATATTTGTGCAATGACACTTTTCAACTATTTGACATTGCTACTTGCAAATCTGTCTTTGCATTGAAAAAGTGTTATTACATTAACCGCTTTTTGCACTCAAAGTGCTAATTTTATTCAATGAAAGTGTCAAACACATGCATTGTTGCACTTTCACCAGGCAATAGACCATATAAGAGGCCTTCGAGCATTTAATTGAAGTGCACACAAGTACTATGAGAACTTGGCCTGCTTTATGGATTAAACTTACCGACATTTCACATGCGGGATGGTCGATAATTTCCAAGTCAGTCTCGATACCATCGACAAGCACAGATACCGTTTTCTGACCATAATCATCATCTACGATAAAGAAAAAAATTATAAGAATATATGTGACCATGAAATGGAAGAGAAGCAAGAAATCTGTTATAAAATAAATACATAAAAAGTATTTAAATTTTAATATTTGCTTTCAATTACGTTATTATTAGAATACATATGGACCCCAACAATTTTTAATAAATTTATTATCAAAATTTGTTATTCTACACGTTTTCAGTATCATTTAAATATTTTTACTATATGTTTATAATATAAATAGAAGTTAAGTTACTGTAACTAACTCATCTAGTCATTCAAGTCATCCTGTTTAAAGGATGTGAATGATTAAATAAACAAAATGACTAAATTATAGAATATAATCAAAATAAACAGAGTATTAGCACCCTGGAAGCAAATCTCTGCGATCATAATTCAACTATTTATTACTTTCAGACCCTTACTGAAGAGAACACATTCCACCTTTCTATTAAAAACCAAAATGTCAGTTGTCGAAGATGCCAAAACTATGCTCAAGGTTTAGAACTCCCGTACCAACAGTCTCGACTTGAACTAGATCAAAGCCGTACAGTTACAAAGAATGCGGGGTCTAATCCGCTTCCAAACAGACACCAAAATCTGTTTCTTAAGACAGATCTTAAGAAGTTTCATCTTATCAGAATAATAACAGATACCCATCAGATAACCTACCAAAAATCTCAGTTTCGTTGTATTGAGGAAGGGGTACACTACTATAGTTGAACAGATGCTCAGCTCTTTAGCCTGACCATTATCTAGAATGTTACGCCAATAGCGACTTTTTTCAGCACAAATCATTTTTCTATCAGAGACATTTTAGTGGACTAAATTATACTTCGATAAAGTTATGGTTCACAGAGTTGTCTCATTGATTCAGTTCTTGCAAGATTATATGTGGACTTATTATCTTCAATTCCTATGTTACCAGCATCCAGCAAAGCGCCACTCTGATATGTTAGTCATATAATGGTAGTCCACCACACCTTTCGAAGAAAACTCCCTAGTAACCTATGCTATAATTGAAAGTACTCATACATAGATAACAAAAATGAGAAAAATGTATTGAAATATGTACGTTAAAAGAAAATGTTAGGAAGAGAATAAGCTGAGATTAAAGAAAAAAAATTGTAACTACACAATTATATCTAGTAACAAAAAGAGAACGATCTCAATCAAAATGTCGTAAAGAGACATAAGAAATCGGAAAGCAAATGAAAATATATAGGCCGAAGCTCATTGTAGAAGTAAATAATGACGATACTAACATATATAGTAAAATGTCAGTATAATAATTTCTAAAACCTTATTTAAATGTAAATTCTACAATCTAATAGCACCTTATATTTGCTGATCTTTAAAATTATATAAAATTTGTGTTCTATTATTTATTTACCTTAAAAGTTAAACATAAATAAACATAAATAATATTAACTACATTTTTACATTTAAACATACATAAAACAAAACTTTGCAGAACCTTTCCAAAACCATAAATGAATCTAAAAAATGAATTTAAAAATAGTATTAAAGGTTTTATAAAATAAATAAAAATTTCGGAGCACTATAAGCACTTTTAATTCTGTTTCTTCTTTAATGTTTTTATATGAGTTTTGAACTTTTTAATATTTTATTGTTATATAAAGAAGCAATTTGCAGTATTTTATACATATAGCAAAACTGTAATAGACACAATTTTTTGGTATATTTAAAATTCTATGTGTGTCCTGTGAAAGAAACAGAATTTGTGTTACTCATACGTCACGTTGTACGGTATATTGTTTTTTTTTCTGCTATTAATTTTCCTTGTTTTCATTGCACAAATCCTCTACTGTTTTGGTGTTCATTTTAAAAATTAATGAAATGCACACTTAATAGAGTTTCCATGAAGTATCTACGTAAATCAACAGAAATGTTGGGCATTTGTAATTTTTATAATAACACAACTTAATTATTATAGAATAAATGAGTGTTCACATTAAACCTGACTTGTTTCATATTAAATTCCATCTATGGTAACTATAAAAATTATATGTATTGCAATTAATAATGCTTTTAAGCTCTTATTAGTATTGTTCATTTTAAGAGTTTTTGGTATTTTTTAATATAATAATTTTATGGTTAAGCAATATTTTTTTTGATTAAGTGGAGATATAAAAGTAAGGTTAAGATGGAGGGGAAAAATTGCGTGCTTCATGGAAATTTTTTATCAGACACAAAAACACTACACTGTCCAAATGATTAAACGCAAACTTTATAGTCTTAAATATGTCAAAGCGATTAAAATTGCTATTTTTAATATTTTTAAATTAGTTCAATTTGTATAGAAGACGGAATTTAATAAAAATTTGATCTAATAAATTTGCTTTAATGTATGTGATATAAAAAGAAAAATAAGGTTAAATGTATACTTAATAGTTGATATTTATTTGAATTAAAAAATTTGTTTTAATTCTTATTAAAGATAAAATAATTTCATAATTAATGCCTTTAAGAATAATTAGTTTAACTGAAGTTTTACTAATAAAGAATGTAATAGTTAATCACTTATTAACCCTAAAAACGTAACTTTAGTTTTCTTTTAGTCTTTTTCATTTATATATTTTAAATTCTATCTATTGAAATATATAACACATATTTTCTTGCACTTGACTACTTTTACTCTCTACTAACTGCGACGTTTCGTCATAACCCCTCTCTACGCATTGAATGGATTATTCTTTATCACTTCATCAGACTAAGCAAAAACTGACCTCAGATCTGCATATCTTCCCGAGGAGCCTATAACCATACTGCCTATAACCATTCGATAACGCGGTGTTGGTAGGCCTGTCCGTTTTCGTAAATAATTTCATGGGTCTATCCTTTATGTATTTTTTGATCCGATCAATCTTGAGGTCCCTGAAGATGTCATTCGTCATAATGCACCATAGTACCTTGAAAAGTCTTGTCAGAGCCTGGCATTGTGCAATTTTTAGCTGGCGAATAGTAGTGTTTAGGGTCTTGCTGAACGCTACACATCCATATTGAAGTGACGGTCGAATAATTTAGTTATATATCAGCTTCCTTAACATTGAAATTGGAGGTGATGAAGAATTTTGGCACAGCTAATTTTTTTCAGTTGAACATGTTTAAGCCATGTGAATTGTTTGTTCACCGTGATGCCTAGATATTTAATGCTATCGTTCCAGTTTATTAGCATGTCTCCAACTCTCACTCTCGATGGGTTCTGTCTCCGCGGAGCCTAAGTATTTTCATTATTGATTTTTAATTTCTTTTTCTATTCCAGTAGTTTAAAAAATAAATTCAGTTGACTTTTGTACAGAATACAATTGTTTATAGAAAATTTAAAATATAGTTGTTAAATAATTTTACTTATATTTTATTTTTTGGTCAGTTTTTAGTATTGAAATTGTTCAACGCGTGCATGGGTAATCAAATTTCTACTTTTATGGAATAATATTGCTTACGGAACTACCGCAGATGTTTTGCTTACTTGCTTGTTCACATTCTCATCGAACTTGAACTTTATTCTACAGACAATGCACGTGCGATTATTGCTGGTAGGTTGCTCAACCATTTACCGCAAGCTAACAGCGATACCACCACATGTGGACATTTTATCATCCAATACGTGCTCATATTTTTACTTCAGCATACTCTAATGCTTTCATGCAACCCATATTGCAATTTGTAAACTTTCACTTTACTTGATATGATGTATCTAAATGTTGTCAAGTACTTCAAATTTTATACTCTTTTAAGGAGTGAATTTTAAACAACATAAATGAGTATACGATTCACATTGAAATAAATACTTAAACGTAAAATTAATACTATTATTGATTAATTAATATTGTATATTTAAAATACTAAATTGCATCTTATTACAAAAAAGAGGATATACGGAAATTGAGACACAAAACACTACATCATGAAAAAATTATATTCCACATTCATTTCATGTAGCCATTTCAATACTCACTTCATATCAATCATATTTGCT